TAAGCGGCTGGTACCGTGAAAACGCTTTTAATGTGACATTTCAAACACCCGTTGGGAGCCCGTTTATTGGACGGTACCAAAGCGGTAAACTGTCGTTCGCAACCCGTCGCTGATTGAGTCAACGTCCCCCATCGTCCCATCACCGCCTTGTGAACGTGTCCTTAACGGCCGCACCGTTCTCATACCATTCCCATACCGCTATCGCCGTTCGCAGCCGAACGTTAGTCAAACGGAAAAAGTTTTGAGCATGCTCAAAAAATTCGCCGGGTGTGGATGGCCGGCAACGTTCCTTGAACGTTTTCAAACGGCCGGGAAACGGCCCACCGTGTGACCATGCCGGCCATCGCCGTCTGGCCATAATTAGCCACACGGTGGCGAACGGTGGGCCTACACGGCTAGTGTGACCGCTACTTAAGTGGAACACCCTCCGTTCTGCCAAAAAGCGTTCCACTTAGGAGGTGTTTCACTTACGGAGGTTTTGGGTTCGCGGAGATTTAAAGACCATACAAGATCAAATATAGGGTTTATTATGACGTATCGCCGGAAATCTGATTCCCCGTTCACAGGGCTGTCAGGGTAGGTACGAAAAAATTCCAATGAACATGCGTGACACATACGGGATTCGCGTGACAAATCCGAACAAATTGCGTTCGGTTTTTCCCGGCGTTCGTATTTTTACCGTATCGTAAACATATTTCGAAAAAATTTCTACAGAAATATTTTTGCTTGACAATTACCAGGTAAAATGCGTATTTTGCGGGACATTTTCTGTCACGCAAAAAAAACTGGCGTGACTTCAAATTCTTCAGCAAATGCGTGACAAATACGCAAATTGCGGGACAGTTGACAGGCCTGCGTTCATTGCACTGTTGCAGGGCAGCTATATACCATTAACTAATCCATTTGTTTCGCTCAAAAAGGCATCTGACAATCGCAATCCTCCTCATTCTGCCCAAAAATGTTTTCTGACATTCTCAATCCTCCTCATTCTGCCAGTCTCAGGAACAAAGATTGGGCAATTAAGTTTTAAATACTTGTTCCTATTGCTAATAATGCACTTGTTTTTAACTGACATTCTTAATCTTACTTATCAAGTTTGAAACAAACAGCAAGGGGTATTAATCAGAGGTTGCATCATGTGTCCATCTCTACAGAAGGTTAATCCAATTTGATGAATGATAATCTTATGAAATTCTTATTTGCTAATTATCAAATTAATTAGTGGTAGCATCACATGTTGATCTCTACAGGAGGTTAATCCAATTTACTATATGGTGATCCTAATTTGCCAATTATCATGTTATTACCTGTTTTCATACCCAGATATCACTGTAGAAGGTTAATACTTTTTACATAAGTATTAATATTGAAATTTATGGAAAATTGACTGTTCCACTTAGCAGGTTATTTTTCAATATGGGGTGTTCACTGTTCAAGTTTGGAGGTGTTCCACTTACAGAGGTTCAATTAACATTAAGTCAATGGATTTTTAAAACGGGACTTTGAAAAAGCGTTCCACTTGCGAAGTGTTCCTCTTATAGAGGTGTTCCACTTAGCAGGTTCTACTGTATACTTTTTGTGATAAAACAGAATAGCTAACTACACATCCAACATATCATTTGCTTATTTAATCTTCTTGAAACTATTAGAGAAACCAGAATTTAATTTAAATCCCGATTTCTCAGGAAAAATCCCGACTTCTCCAGATTTTACTTGACAGGTATGAAATTTGGATTACTTTTAATTAGACAAATGATCTGACTGAATTATTAAATCGTAGTTTTACTGAATGGTTCTATTCTAGCGGACTTTGGTGAATATTCAATTTGTCTTTTTTTTAAATGCACAAAATACAAGTTGGCAGGTATGTGGAAAATGAAAACCACACAGTACGTACATCATACCTCAGCATTCCTTATATATATGGCAAAACAAAAAAAGTTTTGAAAATATGAACATTTTTTTTATTTTAATAAGCTAAAAAACAAATATATGTAGCAAAGAAACAAAAGCGCTGTGTATACATTTAATAGATAACATAAAACATTATAAATAGGCAAAGTACACATTTCTTCATATGCGACATATATGGCAACAAATCTAATTCAGGGATTAGTGAAAAATGTAAAAAAAAAACTTGGCAAATCGTTGTATTATTTGTTCAAATAGCTCACTTTACAGCTCAAATTGCAGCCATTTAGCTAACATACTTTAACATACTACTATCTAGTATTATTCTACTTTTAAATTATTTTCACTTTGTAACAGATTTAATATCTTAATAAATATGTTGTTTTACATCTACAAACAGATATCCTAAAATAGCACCATCACTTACTAGTGTACAGCTTTGTTTGAACATGATTCGCACAATAACGAAAATATGAGATATAAATGTACTAAATGGTATACTGTATTCAAGTTGGTTTCTCCTTTAGGAGACGCTGGGAGTCAAAGAGAGTAATTTCCCTTGACATCTCAGACCACAGCACAAAGCCACGTACCCCAAAATACTGAATATTTTTAAATCAATAATATAAGCTGTTGACAGACAAATTCTGTAAACTAAACTATAATGCAAATTACTCAGGTTTGATGCAGGCTATACTTGAAAACCTAGCATATAGTGATACATTCTTATATAAAGATTTACCCAAACACCATATAATCTAACAACTACCCGTGAATTAAATGATTGTGCTTCTCGAAAGAACTTCTAATTTAATACAAGAACTTACAAGAACTTACAAGAAGAATACAAGAACTTACAAGAACAAGAATACAAGAACTTACAAGAAGAATACAAGAACTTACATAAAGTACAAATCAAAATACTTCAATGACTAAGCAGTATAATATTCCTGTGCATATGCTACAGTGTGTATCGGCATGAAATCATAACAATAAGTAACCTCCTATTACTGAGGGATCCAAACTGAGTATTTTGAAATCACCCAAGACTCTCCAATTAACAACTTCTAGCCGTCTGTCTCTTAGAAATTGGTCCCTTAGTATAACAATACAGTGCGAAAATATTCTTACATTGGTTAACTAATTCAATGCGTAGCATTCTAAAGATAATGAACGAGCAGTCTCTGTCTCTGTAAGTGGAACACCTCCAAAAGTGGAACACTATCATGATGTACCAAAGGTGTTCCACTTAGTTCCAGGGGCGGATCCAGGAACTAACAAGGGGGGGGCCCAAATTTCAGGTCAGGGAAAAAACGTCCGTTTTGGGCCCCTAAAATCCAAAAGTGGGCCCAAATTTTGAAATTTTGAGGCCCATTTTCTTCAAAATTTGGCCTGAAATTAACAAATAAGGCCTTAAAGGCCCAGTAATGACCAAAAAGGCCCACTTTTTGGGGCCTGAAGGCCTTGTTTGGCCCAAAAAATTTTTTGGGCCCAATTTTTTTTTTCTGGGCCCACCCAAGGGGGGGGGGGCCCGGGCCCCTGGGCCCCCCCCCTAATCCGCCAGTGAGTTCCACCTACAGAGTATCCCTTAATTGATTTAAAACACTATAGCAATATATAAAAAGGTTTATAAAATAACATATAAGTGATATGTACATGTATAAGGTTTTCATTCTCAACTTAACAGAAAAATCCTCACTGCACATTTTATGGCAAATGAAAACGTAAATACAGTATGTCATAACCCTAACACATTTTACAAGTGTACCTGTTGAGAGGACACACTATATCTGAACATACTATATCTGAACACATACATGTACATGTGTTTCATTTGTTCAGGCTTTCAAGACGTTCCTATACAAAACCACATGCAGGCCCAATGGCCATAGCCAGGGAGGGTTCTCCATTAATCAAAACTATGCAGCTTTTACCATTCCGAGGACTTTTCTAGTGATTTTTGCCATTTTTGGGTCAAAGTTGTCAAAAGTGACCCCCCTGGAATTAAAAAAAAAAAAAAGTGAGCCCCCTTGGCAAATCCTGGCTACGGGCCTGACATGGGCTCATAAAATGTAAAAATGTATAAAAAAGACTGAAACCATTTTGCATTATAATGTTGGGTAACAGCTGCATTTACCCATTTGAAATGAGCAATGATTTACCACTTGCTAGTATGTAATATACAGTAGAACCTATGCTTGCCAACATTTCTTAATAAGTGAAAACTTGAATAATGGGAGCTACTGGCCCTAATATAAAAAGCATAATTGTTGAGATTATACAAGAATTCATGATATCATATCAAATCAGATAAGGTCTATCAATAATGATTGTAAGCCATATCAACAAGACTATAGCACAGTTAAATCTGTTAAGTGAAATACCTCTGTTACTGGGAACACCTCTCAAGTGGAACACTTTTTTAGAGGTACCAAAGGTGTTTCACTTAGACAGGTTTTACATTGTGTTACATTTGCCAGAAATAAACATGTACACTTCAGGTATATTCTTTCTTACAATATGAACAATGTAGAGTACTTAACTTCATACAATTGTAGACCTCTCTTGAGGTCAACTGGCGAAAATTATATACCATATCTGTTAACCTTGAAAGTACTGTTGAGCGAGACCGGAGCAGCACTCTCAAAGTTTACTATTGAGGTATACACTTTTGCCAGTTGACGGAATAGAGAGGGTAACAATTGTTTTGTTAGTCAGAAGAATATAATAATTGAAAGGATATATTATCGAATATCACGTGAACATATTTGGTAAGTGTAGGTATCATATTTTAGTAAAAAAATCCTCAAATCATCGAATATTTGCAATTTTTTTCACAACTTATTTTTTCAATTTTTTTTCAAAATTAAAAAAAAGTAGCGGTCAACAGTACCTAGTAGCGGTCAACAGTGCATATTGTTGACCGCTCATCAACCAATCAGAATTGAGTATTTCAATTGAGGTACTAACAATATTCTTTGCTGATGTTGCTCATTTTCATTACTGTAAAATCTGACCACGTGAACATCCCTCTGAATGAACAGCTATCTGCCTGAACACAATTGCTGGAGTATTCATGTACCTCATAACATATCATGTTTTCTGAACCTCACAAAGCCAGAGTCCTAGTACTTGTAGTGTTAATTTTACTGGCTTTGGGTTACAATAATTTGTATTTATGGTTTCATGTTTGGTCCCAGTAGTAACATCCATGGAGGTCATCAAAGACTATGTCCATCTAGTTTCTAAAGCATGTATTTTAGTTTTTAGAGCCTCACATTTTTATCAATAATCCATTACAGATATTTTGGCAGAATGTCTCCATCCTTGGTTAATTACCAGAACACTGTTTGACATCAATTGCCGAGGGTCTTTGCGATGATCTTGCATTGGACTTTGTGCGTCTTCCAGTTGGTTTTCTGGCAAGGTTTTCCGCAGTATGATGCCAGACGACACTTAATACAGCTGAGGAGCTTCACGTCATCACCTGCAGTTTTGCCACATTGGAAGCACACTTGAAGTTTCTTCTTATCTGGAAAAAAGAGGAGCAGAACAGTGTATCCCATTGTCTCCTAAAGGAGAAGAGAAAAGCAAAACATTCATGTTGCACCCTGAAAGAGAAAGCAAAGGAGCAGAACAGTACATTCCATTGTCTTCTAAAGGAGAAATCAGGAGTATTTTACAATTATCAGTATATTGTTTAACACTTTTTTTTTTTATTCTGTATAAAAAGTTGTACAAATACAATATTGTAGAAAGAAAACATACAGTAGTTGCATATGCTATAATATCGTATTTATATATAATATTAGCCTTATTTAGCATAGTAGTTTTGATAAAAAGAGTGAGGGAAGGGGGGGGGGGCAGGGGAAAAGGCAAGAGGGGTGGACTTTTTAATGATTTTCTGCTCGATGGTTTGAGCTTGGTGAGGGGGTTTTTATGTTCCCAGTGTGTATTTTACTACGTTATGAAATGTTTGAGTTTCAACCATTGCTGTTCCATAAGTTCAGGTTTTTTTCTTCTTTGGCTGATGCTTTCTTCTATTTTTTTCTCTGTTTTTAGGAAGTTTTGCCAGCCTATCATATTAGGTCTCCTTATTTTCCTTTTACATGTGTTTAGGAATATCTTTTGTTTCAGGAATAGATGTTCGTTTTCTGTTTTTCCATCTCCGAAAAGGAATTTCTCAATCGTGGGTACATCTTCGTCAAGTTGGTTGAAAGATGTTATTAGGAAGTCTTGTACGGCCTCACAATGGTATATTCCATGTTCTAAAGTATCTATGTCACTACGGCATAGACTGCATATATCAGTATTATAGCCGTCTATCACTATGTAAAATCCTATGATTAATACTTGTGATAACATCTTATATTGATGTTTAATTTGTTGTTTAATCCAATATCACAGAAAGTATCATTCAATATTATAACATCTGATCCGGACTCAAATATCATTAGAGAATGATACCCGATTAAACCAAAATATATTCCAGTTTAACCTGATATAATTTAAGTCAGGATCAGATTAAACAGTATTATACGCATATCATTTTCTATTATAACAGGTTTCAAAGTGGTATAATACAAATTATACATATCATTTTTTGTATAATACAAATTAAACTGGAATATACCGAGACCAAACAGATGATACTGTATTATACGGTTCAGAAATTAATGGCACTTTGTTTTCATAACGTCAGACCTTAATTAAACAAGCTAACATAAATATTTACATAAGGTAATTCTAGATGTTTGACCATTTGTCTCAGACTGAAATCCGATATTGTTTTTTTTGGCAATCGCACCCCCCCCCCCCCCCCCCCGACTGAAAGTTGGCTACGCCCTTGTACATGGGTAATAGGGGCACTATTACGCTACGTGCAGAGTCTAGTTATGTACTACGAGAAGACGAAGTCGATCGAATGCAAAGGGTAGGGCACTATAGAAGAGGATCATACAAAAGCACGATCTATTTCACAACGCCTTTAATTTTTGCTCTTCAACTGTTGCCCTTTGTGGATTTAAAAAATAGAATATCTTAATCTAATTTGTTCAACCTGTAATATGGTATATTTTTATGTGTTTTCAGGTATAGAGTATAGTAGATTAGTCTTCCCAGTGGCCTTATACTAACGCTTGTGGTGGTGGTTTGTTTTACAGAATATAGCAGCTATACCTTGAGATACGCAACAAATTGCACGATTTATAGCATGTGATCAGTGTTGCTTGTAGATGTAGTTTTGTAACATTAACTGATTTGCCTAGTGTAATAATCAAAGTGTGTATTAACAGTGTCCAGTATTCACACGTGAACTCAACTCCCGAATGAGTATTGGTGATTTATAGAAAGATATCGGTACAGAGTATCCCCATATACATTGACTATTAGGGTGTTATAAGATTAATTGATTGGCACTAGTAGTTAAAGTGCTTCAGTAGAATTCATAGTGTATATTAACAGTGTTTAGTATTCACACGGGAACTGGAGACCAGAATGAGTATCAGTGATTCATAGGAAGATATCGATACAGAGTAATCCCATATTCATCGACTATTATGGTGTTATAACGTTAATTGATTGGCACGAGTAGTTATAGTGCTTCAGCAGTAGTCATAGTGTGTATTAACAGTGTTCAGTATTTACACGTGAACTGGAGACTAGAATGAGTATCAGTGATTATCGATACAGAGTATTCCCATATACATTGACTATTATGGTGTTATAGCATTAATAGATTGGCGTTAGAATAATAGTATGTCACAATTTGCTGTGATCAACAATTACAATAAGAACCAGACAGAATATGAACCAGAGCGACCATATAGGAGCCTAAGATACCAGCATACCAGCACAATATCATTATAGAGTGTAACATTATACCGTGATCATTATGATGGCATATCATTCAATGATTGACATATTGGAGTTATTATAGTGTGGTACAATAAACCTTGATCACTTGCACAGAAGGCCAGATTGAGTAGTCGATTATATGTTATATAGAAGGATTGTGCTGAGTTTAGTAGTTGAGCAAAACAAAGCCTTCATTGTACCGGAGCGACGATAAGAGTTACCGTTACCAGCAAACATTAGAATATCGCTAATATTATTACAGGGTGTCCCAGTATACATTGACTGATTATTATCATTGAATCAGCAACATTCTGTCTGATATATGCACATTTGTATGGGTCATTATGTCCAAATGAGATATTATAACTGAAAACTTACCACTAAGTAGTATCTATGCATTCATAGCATAGGGAAGTTGTTAGAACAATATTTTAAGTATGTAACCGTTATAGGTTAATGTTAGTTCATGAGTTATTAGAATATAGTTAAGTGTTAGGACTTGTAGAACGAAGAGTTAGTGAGTTAGCTAATTCAGATGAAAACACAGTGTTTCCATAGCCAGTAGGTAGTATAGGGATTCGCTGTGAGCCAGGACAAAGAGTTAGTGAGTTAGTTAATTCAGATGAAGACACCGTGTTTCCACAGTCAGTAGGTAGTATAGGCTATCACTGTGAGTCGTTAGGATCACTCAGTTGATTTAGTGGTACCACAAGGTTAAGTAAGGATCTCAGATAGTTTGGGTAACCAGCGTCACAGACAAGTAGAAATAGTGAGTAACCATTACTTGTCGTTATTTGGTTTCATAAATAACCGCTTTGAGAGTTCGTGGTATAACCACCCTTTTACTGTACATGTAATATATATGTATATGTTACTTTAACATTGTTTCAAAATATATTTCCATATTAAAACTACTTATATTTGTGAGTAATTACATTGGTGGCAGTAAGTATGGCAGAACCGCCCAATGACATAGATGGGGAAGTTGGTGCCAATGAGGCACTTGCAGCGGGGGATCAACCAGGCCCCGTAGTTCAGCCCCCAGCAGCACAACAGAACAGTACTACTAGAGAATACAGAAAAGCAGTCACTCCCAGGAATTTTGATTGTAAGACAACAACCTGGGATAGCTGGCTGAAACACTTTTGCAGGGTAGCAACTGCCAATAACTGGACAGAACAGACCAAAATAGTGATGCTCAGTACTACTCTGGATGGCAAGCCTCTCGAAGAGTATGAGAGGATATTAACTGAAGACGAAGATATAGATTTTAACACACTGACAGCTGCCATTGGTACTGAGGTGCGACCTACAAGGAAAGCAGCAATGGAGACATATACTAAGATGCAACTAGGGTCTGATACACCCAAGACGTTCTATTCTAAGTTGCTTGAACAGTCCAAGTTAGTATATCCAGAGGTGTCTCAGGATGCCAGACTTATGATGATAACGACGCAGTTCATCCAGTCCATTCCAAGTCAGCTGTTGGAAGATATGTCCAAACAGAGTGATGTGCATTCCTTAGACAAAGAGGCTCTGCTGACATTGGCTACCAGGGTTTGGGAGGCAACAAAGCAAAGCAAGTCAGAGGATCAAGGATCACTTATAGGAGCGGTGGGTCCTCCAGTGGTACAACAACCTGACCAAGTTTCACAACTTCGGGAAGAATTACTTGAATTAAAGAATCTTGTTGTATCATCACTCAAGACCCAACAGTCAACATCTGAGCCCAGGCAGAGTAATGTTTCGTGTTTTCATTGTGGTAAGCCAGGGCATATAGCTCGTAATTGTTTTACTAAACAAGGAACCTCGTCAGGTGTACGATGCTATAATTGCCAAGGTATAGGCCACATGGCTAAGGCTTGTCCATCCCCTAGTAATAGACAGAGATCGAACCAGACAGGAACTACAGATGGGAAAGATTCGTCCTCCAACAGACCAGTTAGCGGCTCCTCGAATAATGAGGTTGCTGAGATAAAAGGATCTTCTGGTCTCATGGTAACAGTAGGAGTTGGAAACCGAGAAGGGGATGTGCAGCGTCCAATGCAATGGCTAATTGACACAGGTGCCAAGATCTCAGTTATCGACATGAATACCTACAAACAACATCTTGAAGACATTGAGTTGAGGTCACAACCTGAGTCTTTTACATGTGTTTCAGCAGATGGCACAGGTATCAAAGTAGCAGGACAAGTTCAGCTAACAATAACTATTGGTTCCAGGGTTCTACCCTTGCTCACGACAGTTATCCAGGGCTCAACCAAGACAGCCTTGCTTGGACGTGATGTCTTGGATCAATTTGATACATGGTCAGTGTCAAAAAAGAATAGCATTATCAGGCTTGATGATGAGTCATTGAAACTCAACCCAATATCTGAGGATAGGAATGCAGTGTGTAAAATCACCCTGGCTCGAGATGTCATTCTACCTGGGCAAAGTGAAGCATGGGTGGAAGCTAGGTTACCAATGCGTTTGAACTCCATATCTGGGTTGTTTACCCCAAGCACTAAATTACTGTCTCGGAAACATGTAGTAGCGGCTAATGGGCTTTGCCGAGCAGATGTGTTGGGGAAATCAGTTCAAGTTAGAGTGCTTAACCCAGAGACATCTCCAAGACGACTTTATAAAGGCACCCACATGGGGGTGTTTGACACGACAACTATAGGTGAATATGAT